TTGTCCGCCTGAGAGACAATGCGTCATAGTTACACGTACCTTCAGATATTACATGCCATTGGCCGGCGACTATATCGCCAATAAATAAATTTTCAAACGTTTATTACTATTTTTTGTAGTCTACTTTGATTTAAAATATTTTCGACGTTAATGTACGACTATAACGAACGCTGTGCTTAATTTCCAACAACTGTGTCATTAAATCTTAACTATTAAATAATTTACAATTAAATTTTAGTGCATTATGCATTTACACGTAATGCAATTTTATTTGAAACGTATTTAAAGCAAGAACATAAAATGTTTGTGAAAAACTGTAAAGAATTGAAGATAATTTTGCGAATCAAATCATTTATATTTGCAAAATCGTAAAACTTATTGAAATGTCAAACATAGTGTAATTTTAAAGACGTTTTGTTTGTAATAAATCAATTTCAAATATGCAACTACGTTGGAATTAAAATTAAGATATTTAATATGCCCAAATGTCAACTAATTAAATACACGCAATCAATTTCGTCATCATTCACTTATTATTTATTTAATACGCTACCAATATGTAAAAAGTAATAAGCAAATATTTTGATGTGTAAAAAATAATTAAAAATGTTGATGAGAGATGACGTACTCTTCGTTAAAATATCTTAAAAATAAAATATTATTTTGATTTGATTGGTAAGCTAGGCTTATTGACACGAACAACCTATTGCAACATCAAATTAATATGTTCTCAAGGACGATCTAGGTAAATGTAAATAAACCAATAAACTAATAAATAAATTAAGTCAATATTATTATAACAAAAAAAACTTGTACCAAATTAAATCTTCAAAATTATTTTAGACTTTATTAGCTACTGAATTGCTTCTGCTGTCTGATAGTATCAAACTTAAAAACGAATCTGGTTTTATTCTATTTCATTATATTTTATTGCCCTCTGGCGCATACCACAGCTTCTGAAAGAGAACGTGCGTTTTTGACTTTATGTTCGAATTCCAAATTGAAACATATTTTGCACGCTGCCGATCGAAACTAATCGATTTGTGGAATTGGCATTTTAATGGATTGCATGTTATTCAATTCGCCTACAACTCATCTAAAAATAAATAGATTCTTTGAAATGTATCAGGAAATTAAATTATGATAATTTTGCAATAAAATAATTATTATTAGCGTTAAAACTCTAACGTCCGCGGTAATAAATTAATTTAAACTAAACTGAATCAGATTGAATGCGATTTCATGCATGAAACACGCAAATCATTTGTTGTTGGCGTCGCTTGTCGTTCCTGTCTCAAGTTTGAGCGTCTGAAGGAAAACCTTGAAGCGCTTGAAGACACACCCAAAACACGATTTGTATTCCATTCATTCCGCATATTGTCCACTTCTTGTTCTTGTTCTGATTCTTATGATATATATTTTTATACATTGGAATATTTTAAGTGTCAATTTTTATTGTTTCCTTTGTAATTCTTAAAGTATAAAAATAGGGTTAGGTCATTTTATGATCGCCATTGCCGCCATTTTAAATGTTACCGAGTTGAAAAGTTGAACAACCTTTTGCTACGCTTCCATATCTGGAACTGCGATGTTTTTTTCGTTAAAATCTTTGAATGTTGGAGACAGCCAGAGATAGTGGGCACACTTAACCGGACTTTGCAACAATCTAATAAAATCGAAATCGGACAACGCCAACGCCCACGAGTATACAAAAGACACCTAATAAATTCTAATGCTACAAATGTTTGCAACAGGACAATGTATTGTAAATATCCAACGAATTGAATAGAATCTGCAAATAATTGAAAAGATTTTTTTTTTGAAATTTTTGTTTAAATTGTAACAATTTAAGTTTATAATTTGAAAAATTAGTCTTTTGATCCCTTGTCGATTGTAGTTTGATAAGTTTCTGAGTCGTGACTGGTTTTCTAATGTGATTGTTACATTTGTTACAATTTTGCGTCGTTAAACAACACATTAAAACTCCTACGAAACAATAAATTAGAAAAGTAGATTGATCTAGATAAAATTAAACAACGCCCAATAATATACAGAGTGATATAAATCGTGCTTTTTAATAAATTTGTTTGTGAAATGTTGTTTATAACGTGTTTTATGAAGTATCAAAAAAGAAATTTAATTTAAAGGTTATGTAAACGTATATTACTTAATATTGCGACTAAACATCGGCGATTTGGTCGTTTGTGGTAATTGCCGAGTGGGCAAACAGCATATATTTAAACTTTATATCTGCACATGTAAGTGTGTTTGTGTAAAAGTTGGTAAACCTTGTTGGTTGCGAGTCGTTCCACTCGAAATGATTTTAAGTAGCGGACTTTTGCAAAACTCACAAAATATAGATACCCACTACTAAATTTCATAAAATTTTTCTTTTATTTTTTTTATTTTTCTGTTTTACGTGTGTTTTAATGTTGGAAAGTACACGTAATGTACTTTATTGTAAATTATTTTTTGGTTGTTAATTAAAAAGCCTTGTTAGCAGTTTTTTGTTAATTGCGCTTTTAATTTTAATACTTTTTACGTTTACACTTCTGGTTGTTTTGCTCATTTGTGCTCCTACTTCGTGCAAAAAGTTCTACGTCTATGCGTCGTTTCCGTAACTTTCTCTACGTCGAGCATTTGTCTTGCTGTCTTAGCCTGTCTTGTCTTCCAGCGTTGCTAGCTGCTTGTTAAAATTTCTGTCGACGCAAAATAAAAGTTACATTTGTATACAAACGTAGAATGTGGAAGCAGAACTCGAGGTAGATGTTAAATGTTTTGCTCTCGATTCTCTCTCAATCTCAACTTGCTTTGCGTTATTTGCATTTTGCAAGATTATCAACGCGATAAAACTAGTTTCCACTTCATTACATACTTTCATTTATAAGTTTAATTACAGGTGGCGTTACAATCTATTGAAAACTTCTTGATAAAATGAACGAAACAATTACAATGTAAAACAAAATCATTTATCATCTTGATGTTTTGTTTTCTGTTAAAACATTTGTTAACAACTGTTTTCTTATCATTAAAAACAAAGACAATCAGTATTTACGATTGCCAACAAAGTATATCATACAGTAATTAGCTTATTTATTTATTAAATTACGTATTTGTCAACAAAAATTTAAATTTACAGAAATTACAAAATTTCAAATTAAGTTAAATTGTTTTTGCGTGAAAGCAACACAAATAAACGTGTACATTTATAATAATAATTAAGATTAATTACCGTACTGTATTTATATAGAAATACTAATAAAACTGAAAACAAGCAGGACAAGATCATATCACTTTGTTGCAAAATGTTAACCATTGGGTTGGGCCACCTCCAGCTACCTTAATGATCACCATGATTACTAGCATTGATTTGTTTGTTCAAATAAAAGAAATCAGGGTTAACCTGAACGCTGAACACAGCAAGATATCGCTGTCGGTTTAATAATAAAAAGAATTGACCTTTATTATTCTATTTTTTCACATGAGATCAACTTCTGAACGCCAAACATTGTAGATTATAATAATTGCTTTTTAATACTCCCACCCGTTGAATAAATTAAATGCAAATGTGTTATAAAAAGCCTTCAATGTCGGTTAATCGACCAAAGGTTAAGCCTATTAAATTTATACTAAATTCAAGTTGGTTATGCCAAATTATGGCTGAGTTTCGGCTCGGTTATTCGTGTTTATGATGCTGGATATTTGCATTGTTTTCTAATTGAGCTGCGACTTTATGCAAATGTGTGAATGGGAAACAACCGCAAACGCAAGAAGTGAAATAAAATCATTTCCTTATGACTTTGAAGTTGTTGTATATACTATTGATGCTATTGAATATTAAATTTTGATGGCAATGATAAGTAACCGGAAATAATTATTAATTAATAATTAATTAATCCAAAAATATTTTCTAAATATTTAAACATTTAAAATAATCTATTGGAAATTTGTAATAGGTGATTACTAATTAATTTATTCGTAGATAATGTGATGCGCAACATTTTCAACATTTCACGCTCTGTAATTACTTGCTCATCATAATATTGCGCGCATTGTGCACATGCTTTCACATCACATGCACGTCTACTCCTTGCGCACACAAATTGCGAATCGCAAAACGAATATTGTATAAAACCAAACTTACATAACCTGCACGGCTCCATGCGCATGCTTTATAATTACACGGCAATCAATTAAAAAACTGCACGCATTTTCGCATTATTTCTTGAGGTAGCTACAGTTTTCCACATGCACTGATGAAATGTTCCGACCAAGTGTGCAATGAGATGGGAAACCGCACGGAAATTATAACGCGTCGATATGTGGAGCAAGATGGCGGACGACAAAAATGGCGAGATGCATTCTGAATGTCTCAACGCGCGTTGAAATCATGTGCGAAAACTTGTTGTTCGTGACTCGTCTTCGCCGTGAATGCAAACGCTAGAGTCGATGAAAGAAAACGTCAATAATTGCAACAATTACAACACAACAACTCTTAATCTCGTGTGGTGGTAATTCTTCACAACATTTTTTAAGAGAAAATCAAACTGAAGAAATTACAAGTAGCATTGATAGTTTTCTAATTCTTTACAAGCGGATTTTCTTTATTTTATTTATTTCTTAGAGATTTTTACATGGATAGAATGTTGTTCAAGTGACTTTCTTGCGATTGTTCGTTTAAATAACGTCAAACCTTAGACCTCGATACGTTTTAAACACAACTATGTTTGCGGAGTCTGTGCAGACGTTAATCTTTTCATTCTTCATAAATTCTCATAAACTCTCACGCTCGAAGTATATCTAATTATGCCGAAATGACACAGAAAAACGCACAAGTTGCACGAAACGCTCAAGAATCGCGTTAACTCACGTCAAAACAACTACAAAATGGCCGTCAGAGACATTAATCACAACAACTTCATACAATTCAAACGATTCTATTAAAATTTTATTTTTTTCTTTGATTTATTAATTTAATGACGTAATTATTTCTTTTTCAGTTGGTAGTCGTAGGCAACCAAGAATTGCGTCACAATGGCCACCCATCATGGCCTGCGGCACGAGAGCGACGAAAACTTTTCGGACGACGAGAGCTTTCCGTTGACGCACGATATTTATGGCGGAAGGTGAGTCACGAAAAAATGCAACATTCAGAGTCAATGAATCCCAAACCTCAGGTCAACCAAAACGATTAAAAATTTGTGCAATATAATTTAAAATTACTACAATTTAAAAAAATCCCCTGGAAGTTTCCTTTTAACACTAGCAGCAATTTTTTAACCTCAACCTTCATTTCTTTTACTTTTTATTATCTCGAAACGCCGATGCGTTTTGTTCTTTTTGGGCTGAGTTCACGCCTGGGCAAGGACGTTCAAAGATCTGCTCCGAAATCGAGAGTCATTTCGCCTCTCGCGACTCTCTCAAACTTGTTCTCTCGTCATGCATCCAAGAAAACACAACCCAAAGCAAATGAAAAGAAAATCCAAACATAAAATATATTATGGCAGTTTAATTTTAGACTTTTTAGTTTTTGTTTCTTTAATTGGTCAGTTACAAAATTTATTTCGTTCGTGGCGCAACCGCACGCAACGAAATCAACGATTAGGTTTCAAAAATTAGCAATTAAATTCAAAGAAGTGTAACAATATGTTCGATTATGTCGGTGTTATGCATTGAAAAAATGTTCATTGTGGCGTGCGCTCGGACGTGACTCGATTCAGCTCTGATTCGAAGGCGAAACGCGGGCGATTACCGGCGCGAAGGAGCCCGAAGTGAACGGTCAACTTTCTAAAGATTATTATCCGTTTTAACGTGAATTCGCAGGGCGTTTCTTGCGACGAACGCATGCAATAATGACAGGCGGCAACGGGTCGGCCATAAATTACATTTGTTTTATGTTTGTTTGTGTTTAGCTTGCACATTCATTTCGTATGCATTTTGGAGGTCTTTTGTTTTCTTTAAAACACCAAACAATAAATCATGCTTCACTTAAAAGTGAATATTGAACCATACAGCGTGTGTTCATATCCGTGTCGATTACTTCTTTTGTTTTTGCCCATTTTTCTATTTTTAGTGTTTATTTCTTAATACTACTTTGTTGGCGATTGCTATATTAAGTTCCTATTGAATTGAATGCTAAAAGGTTAATATTAAATATTAATATTTATACACGACGATGGCTCGTGTCGTTCTCGTATGCAATGCAAAGCGGGAGAGCAAACCAGAACAGAATGTCGAATGCTGCTGGATGGTGGAAGTCCGAGCTTCGAGGCGAAGACTAAAGAATAGAGCGCGAACGAACGGCCCCGCATAATAGAAAAGCAAAAATGTAGATTACCTTGGCATTTCCTTCAAAACTCTGCCTCACACATTGGTGTGTAGAACGTTTTAATGTATGAATAATTGTTTCCATCGGCGAAAGAATGTATTAGGACAAGAAAAGCAACAAAGAACCAACAACAACAATACAAACAAGACAACGTATAATTAAATATTGGTTTTGCGTTTTTGTGCTTAAAACAGTAGCAAAAGAATATTTAAATATATTTATGATGTGACTTGGCGTTTCCAAACGCAAAATTATCAAAACGTAAAAATCATCCGTTTTTCAAAGTGTACGCATTATATTTGCATGCGAATGGAACACGATGCCGCAACGCAAATAAACGCGCAAAGAAGTCAATAATCCTGCCATTTATTGTCGCGTCTTTACGATGTGCCATCAAGAAATAAAACGTTTGTAAAAAGGCTGAAAGCTAAACGCCAAACATCGCGAGGGAATGCAGTTTTGAACGTACTTGCTGCGCATCGTTTTACTTTTACTCCGGCGATGCGCAAACGTTAAAAAAGTTGTTTTACTTTTATTTTGGAATCACCGCAACCGCGAGAATGTACAAACACGAGTGAAGTTTAAATGTTATCATATATCAAAACGCATTCGTACACGTCGTCCAAGAATTTAATGCTTTGCATCTTTAATCTTCACGGAGTTTGAGCAGTTACGAGAAAAACGAAGAGTTGTTGATAAATGTATAAAATGCACATAAATATTAGATGCAAATCGGATTAAATTGAATGAAAACTATTCTTGAGCAACTCCTGCAACTTGTATAAAGGTACAGTTGAAGTTAGCAAGCTAGAAGGGTGTTGATCCTTCTATCAAGGGCGTTCGGGATGACCATCAAGGCTATCTGGTGCCTCTCGCCACGAGCCACCAAACTAGAAGTGCATCCGTACAAAAGTACAAAGAAGTAGTAGAAAGGTCAATATCCAACGATGAAAGTGAGTGTTTTACTACACATCAAGCATGACAAATACTTTTGCAGTGACATTAAAAAATAATTAAACCCGCATTTTATCAAAACCTTAAATCAGTCGCTTAATAAACGAGTGAAAATTTCACGCAATTGTTAATTATTTTCCTCGGCGTAATGAGCAATTACTCGAGGCTGCACATTTAAATTCTGCCCAAATCGGGCGCTTCCACACAGATATTTCTTTACATCCACCTTGAAAACGCAAAAGACAATGCGATTCAGCCGCCTTAAAACGTTGAGCGTCACGTTACCAATGCGCCATCATCGCAATCGCAATCGTACGAAGATGTAACATGAGTAGGTACACTCTTCATACTCAACAACAAACAAACACATAAAATAAACAAAAATAATGTAAATAGTAAACCGCATATATTGTTGCACAACTATTGCGAGATGTGCAGTTGGTTTTTAATTGTGTTTATAAATTATAATAAGCAATAAAACGGCGAGACCTCCAAGGAGTTATATATTTCTTTGATTAAAATTGCGCACATAAAATCCGATTTTATACGGCTTCATGATATGATAATAAATTTACATCGTTTTGCATCGCGCGGGAAGAAAAAGGCGTGCGTAAATTACTTTGAGAATTATTTACTGCTCTTGACCACCATCTCATCGCCGAGAAATGCATCGATGAGAAGAAGGTGGAACACCTTTGAAGTCATGACGCATTCGACGCACTCGAACGCATTGCAATCTTTGTAATAGGCAACCACACCCACTCAAACGCCAAAGAGAATTCCTTCTTGATATATGGCGGCCGTACATGTTCAACAATCAGCCTTGAATCATTAATAACCGCTGCTAATTTCAATTTAATTATATTACCTACAACTTATGAACAACTTATGCAACCATATTAGGTTATGTTTTACTACTAACGACCTCTATGTGATTTTCTTTATGTTTTCAGTACTAGAACAGTCCCAGATACGAAAGGATGGGACGTTTTCCGAGACCCACCGACAAAAGTCGACTCTGGCTCGATGGCCAACCAAAATGTCTCGACATCACCGTGAAGATCTTCAAAGCGATCGCTTACCTCGTCACTTTTGTAATTGTCCTCGGTTCAGGGGTGATAGCAAAAGGCACGCTGTTATTCATGACCTCCCAACTTAGTCCTGATAAAGTAACCACGTATTGCAACCGAGAATTAGGCCGTGATAAACAATTCGTAGTAAAACTACCGCAGGAAGAACGAGTCGCGTGGATGTGGTGTCTGGTCTTTGCGTTCTGGGTACCACAACTCGGGACACTTTTCCGGTCATCTCGTATGTGTGTCTTCAAATCGTGGAAGAAGCCAGCCTTCTCGCACTTTCTCATCGTGTTCCTATGCGAGACGGCGCATACCATCGGCATTGCGCTGCTAGTCTTCTACGTCCTTCCCGATCTGGACGTGGTCAAAGGCGCTATGCTCACCAACTGCGTGTGTTTCATCCCAGGCGTTTTAGGGTTACTGTCACGCAGTAACAAAGAATCAAAACGGTTTATTAAAGTGATCGTGGATTTGTTTGCTATCGCAGCACAAGCCACAGGATTTGTCGTCTGGCCAATTGTGGAGCAAAACCGGAAATGTGGTTGATCCCAGTCGCCATTTTCTTGACATCTATCGGTTGGTGGGAGAACTATATCTCTAAACATTCCCCGATTCCGTTTATTAAACGATTAGGAAAAATCAAAGAAGAATTCGAAGGATGCCGTTATTTCTCTTATATTTTTATATCAATCTGGAAGTGTATCATCTTCATGATCAGTTTGCTGGTGATCATGTTCGTCAAACACGGTGAAGCAGGTTTTGTCTTCACTGATTTCTCACCTGGGTTTGGTGCACATAAAATAACCATCTTGGAAATCAAACCAACTCTCGGTGGTACCACCATGCCGGATCTAACTGAATTGATTACTACAGGAGATGACACTACCATCAACGCCAATGACATGTCTCCTGTCTATGTTCTCATGATCAACATTCTTGCGTCTTACTTATGTTATATATTTGGTAAATTCGCTTGTAAAATCATGATCCAAGGATTTTCCTATGCCTTCCTGTTAATCTAACCATCCCTGTTTCTATTTCCTTGTTGATCACTGCATGTGGTCTGCGAAATGATGACCCTTGCTTCTTCAATGAAACACTACCAGGTTACTTATTCTATCAAAGCCCACCTGTGTATTTCTTCAACGATTTCATAACACATCAGCATGCGTGGGTGTGGATGTTATGGTTGTTATCACAAACATGGATAACTCTACATATTTGGACTCCTAAATGCGAAAGGTTGGCGCGTACAGAGAAGCTTTACGTGTCTCCAATGTACGATGGGCTTTTGATCGATCAAAGTATGGGTATGAATAGGCGTAGAGATGATGAAGCGGATGTTAAAACTGAAGAATTAGACGAAATTCAGAAAGAAAAAGGTGATGAATACTACGAAACCATTTCTAACCATACCGATGGATCTACTCCGAAAACTATCAAGAATTCCGACCATATTACTAGAATTTATGCGTGCGCTACCATGTGGCATGAAAACAAAGAAGAAATGATAGAGTTCTTAAAGAGTATTCTTCGATTGGATGAAGATCAATCAGCGCGGAGAGTAGCCCAAAAATATCTCACTTTTCCGGTCATCTCGTATGTGTGTCTTCAAATCGTGGAAGAAGCCAGCCTTCTCGCACTTTCTCATCGTGTTCCTATGCGAGACGGCGCATACCATCGGCATTGCGCTGCTAGTCTTCTACGTCCTTCCCGATCTGGACGTGGTCAAAGGCGCTATGCTCACCAACTGCGTGTGTTTCATCCCAGGCGTTTTAGGGTTACTGTCACGCAGTAACAAAGAATCAAAACGGTTTATTAAAGTGATCGTGGATTTGTTTGCTATCGCAGCACAAGCCACAGGATTTGTCGTCTGGCCAATTGTGGAGCAAAACCGGAAATGTGGTTGATCCCAGTCGCCATTTTCTTGACATCTATCGGATGGTGGGAGAACTATATCTCTAAACATTCCCCGATTCCGTTTATTAAACGATTAGGAAAAATCAAAGAAGAATTCGAAGGATGCCGTTATTTCTCTTATATTTTTATATCAATCTGGAAGTGTATCATCTTCATGATCAGTTTGCTGGTGATCATGTTCGTCAAACACGGTGAAGCAGGTTTTGTCTTCACTGATTTCTCACCTGGGTTTGGCGCACATAAAATAACCATCTTGGAAATCAAACCAACTCTCGGTGGTACCACCATGCCGGATCTAACTGAATTGATTACTACAGGAGATGACACTACCATCAACGCCAATGACATGTCTCCTGTCTATGTTCTCATGATCAACATTCTTGCGTCTTACTTATGTTATATATTTGGTAAATTCGCTTGTAAAATCATGATCCAAGGATTTTCCTATGCCTTCCCTGTTAATCTAACCATCCCTGTTTCTATTTCCTTGTTGATCACTGCATGTGGTCTGCGAAATGATGACCCTTGCTTCTTCAATGAAACACTACCAGGTTACTTATTCTATCAAAGCCCACCTGTGTATTTCTTCAACGATTTCATAACACATCAGCATGCGTGGGTGTGGATGTTATGGTTGTTATCACAAACATGGATAACTCTACATATTTGGACTCCTAAATGCGAAAGGTTGGCGCGTACAGAGAAGCTTTACGTGTCTCCAATGTACGATGGGCTTTTGATCGATCAAAGTATGGGTATGAATAGGCGTAGAGATGATGAAGCGGATGTTAAAACTGAAGAATTAGACGAAATTCAGAAAGAAAAAGGTGATGAATACTACGAAACCATTTCTAACCATACCGATGGATCTACTCCGAAAACTATCAAGAATTCCGACCATATTACTAGAATTTATGCGTGCGCTACCATGTGGCATGAAAACAAAGAAGAAATGATAGAGTTCTTAAAGAGTATTCTTCGATTGGATGAAGATCAATCAGCGCGGAGAGTAGCCCAAAAATATCTCAGGGTTGTAGATCCGGATTATTACGAATTTGAAAGTAAGCTTATTTTTATTCTAGGTTATGTTTATGCGCTATTCTAATTTAATTATTTTCAGCTCACATTTTCTTCGATGACGCTTTTGAAATCTCTGATCATAATGACGATGATACTCAAGTCAATCGTTTCGTTAAACTATTGGTCTCTACTTTGGACGAAGCAGCCAGTGACGTCCATCAAACCCACATCCGCATTCGTCCACCCAAAAGATACCCACACCGTATGGAGGTCGCTTAATCTGGACCCTGCCTGGCAAAACCAAAATGATTGCTCATCTCAAAGACAAGATGAAGATTCGTCATCGTAAACGTTGGTCTCAAGTCATGTACATGTACTACCTCCTCGGTCATCGCCTCATGGAATTACCAATCTCAGTGGACCGTAAAGCAGTTATCGCGGAGAATACTTATCTTTTGACTTTGGATGGTGACATTGATTTTCAACCATCCGCAGTAACCCTCCTGATTGATTTGATGAAGAAAAACAAGAACTTAGGAGCTGCCTGTGGGCGTATTCACCCTGTGGGATCAGGTCCCATGGTGTGGTATCAAATGTTTGAATATGCTATTGGTCATTGGCTTCAAAAGGCTACGGAACACATGATTGGATGCGTACTTTGTAGTCCTGGATGTTTCTCACTCTTCAGAGGGAAATCTCTTATGGACGATAATGTTATGAAGAAGTATACTACCCGATCTGATGAAGCTAGACATTATGTGCAGTACGATCAAGGAGAAGATCGTTGGCTTTGCACCTTATTATTACAAAGAGGCTATCGTGTAGAATACTCAGCCGCTTCAGATGCTTACACACATGCCCCGGAAGGTTTCAATGAGTTCTACAACCAGCGTCGTCGTTGGGTACCCTCCACCATTGCAAACATCATGGATCTTCTAGTGGACTACAAAAAAACTATTAAAATCAACGACAACATCTCTATGCCCTACATTGGTTATCAAATTCTATTGATGGGTGGTACCATCCTTGGACCCGGAACAATTTTCCTTATGTTGGTGGGTGCCTTTGTGGCAGCTTTCCAGATTGACAATTGGACCAGTTTCTACTACAATATCGTACCCATTTTCTTCTTCATGTTGGTTTGTTTTACTTGCAAGTCAAACATTCAACTACTCTGCGCGCAGATATTATCAACCGGATATGCCTTGATCATGATGGCTGTTATTGTTGGTACCGCTCTGCAGTTACGTGAGGACGGCATCGGTTCTCCATCTGCTATATTCTTGATAGCAATGACAAGTTCATTCTTCATAGCAGCGTGTCTCCATCCACAAGAATTTTGGTGTATTGTGCCGGGTATTATTTACCTGTTGTCAATTCCGTCTATGTACCTCCTGTTGATTTTGTATTCAATCATCAATCTAAACGTTGTATCTTGGGGTACTCGTGAAGTTGCCGTTAAATTAACTAAAAAAGAACTCGAACAACAACGCAAAGAAGCGGAAGAAGCCAAGAAGAAAGCGAAACAAAAGTCTCTATTGGGATTCCTACAAGGAGGAGGTACCAGCGACGATGATGAAGGCAGCATTGAATTATCAGTTGCTGGATTATTCAAATTTATGTTATGCACACACCAGAAAGCCGGCGATGAGAAAGCGCAACTTATTCATATCGCCGATACATTGGAAGGCTTGACCAAACGTTTGGATCACATTGAAAAGTAAACCTTAAACCGCATTTAAAAAAAATGTGTACTCACTTTGTTTGTTTCAGGGTAATCGATCCTCAGGGTCACGCTTCTCGCAGACGTAGCATGTCGGCTTCATCCCGCGGAGATCATCATCATCTGAGTGCTGTTGCGGAAGATCCAACCGAGGAGTCGTCAGACAGCGATAGCGAAACAATGTCAACAGTACCACAAAACAAACGCGACGATCTCATCAATCCATATTGGATCGAAGATCCCGATCTAAGGAAAGGAGAGGTGGAATTCTTAAGTTCAACGGAAATCGCCTTCTGGAAGGAGTTGTTGGATAAATATTTGTATCCAATTGACGAGAACAAGGAGGAAAAGGCATGTGCACTTCACTAGTTTGATTTAAGTTAATTGGGTTATGTTTTGTTTTAGGCACGTATCGCGTCCGACTTAAAAGAACTGAGAAACTCGTCCGTGTTTGCTTTCTTCATGGTCAATGCTATATTTGTCTTGATCGTGTTCTTATTGACACTGAAGAAGGATTACCTGCACGTAAAATGGCCGTTCGGCATCAAGACAAATATAACATACGACGAGAGTACACAAGAGGTAATGTTTGAGGGATCACATGATTCGCGCACGTAAATCTCACCTGTTATCGCTAGCGCGTCGAAAGCAATACAATTTCTCCACAGATCTAGGAAGGAATCATGTGTCCCTGCCAGTGCAAATGTGGACTAATCGTGCGCGCGCACGTTTTGCTTCTTCTTTCAGGCCCGGATCGCGCGCGAGCTCATCGAGCTGCGCAATAAGTCGGTATTCGCTTTCTTCATGTTCAATGCGTTGTTTGTGTTGGTCGTGTTTCTGCTGCAACTTAATAAGGATCAGATCCATGTTAAGTGGCCGCTCGGCATACGCACCAATATTACGTACATTGAGGAGACTTCTGAGGTATTTAGAGGCGGCAAAATGCTGTTTCGATGTTGCGCTCTCGCGTGAACTCGAAACGTTATAAACAAAGATGGCGATGGCACACTGGGGGTCTATACACTTCCTTGGATTGGACGGAATAATTATTGTGTACTAAACAATGTGTTTCTCAAATGAAGTCTGGTTACTCTTTAAAAATATATCACAGTCACATATATACAAAGCATCAAAACTCATGTCATCACATACAAATTACTCTTCCAGTGATTAACACACAAGACCAACCACAAAACCAGTGAATATATTATACACTCAATGTAAACACTTATTTTTGTGGTACTATGGTAACACAGATCACCAAATGGTACTTTGTGGTACTAATCACTAAGAACGAAACAAATTACAGCACAAAATATATCATTATCTCATCATCATCTTTTCATTTCATCAAAATTTGTTGTAAAAATGTTGAATAATCACAAAATTAAATAATTCTCTTCAATTGGCAGCGCAAAATCTCTCACCCCCCTGGCGAAATGATGATGACCCCAATGAATTTCGATATTTCGGATATAAAGCAGAAAGCAATCTGTGTATCTTCTGTAACGTTGTTAACGTTTCTAATTTTATGGTTAATTGTGTGTTATTTGTGCTATTGGTTAATTTATGTGGTGCACTCTTATTATAACTTCACCTACTTTGAAGTAACTTGTCAATGGTCAGAAAAATGTAGCATTATCTCTTTATAGGTGCACATCAGCAAGGAGTACCTTCAATTGGAACCTATTGGTCTGGTATTTGTGTTCTTCTTCGCGTTGATTCTGGTGATCCAGTTTACGGCCATGTTGTTCCATCGTTTCGGTACCTTGGCTCACATTTTGGCATCAACAGATCTCAACTTTGGATGCTCTAAAAGGTTGCTTTTATTATTTTGAACAAAATGTAAAAACAAATTGAACTTAACGGATGAAATTTTATAGAAAGAGGATCTGTCTCCCAACGCGTTACTGGATCGACAAGCAGTCGAAATCGTCAAACAACTGCAGCGATTGCAGGGCATCGACGATGGAGACTACGAAAACGATTCCGGTTCTGGCCCTGATCGTATCGGCCGTAGGAAAACAATTCATAATTTGGAACGAGCTGCGCAAAGGAAGAGACAGATCGGCACGTTGGACGTCGCATTTAAGAAGCGTTTTGCTAAATTGAATGCCAACCCTGAAGGAGGTAATGTTTCACTTAAAATCTCCACGTATTACTCAAACGTATTTTTACCACAGGTACTCCTATTTTGAGCCGTCGAATGACAATGGGCAAAGAAACAATGAAGGCGTTAGAGGTCCGGGTTAATTCCGTAATGGCGGAACGTCGCAAGTCTAATATGCAAACACTGGGCGCAAAGAACGAATACGGCAACAATAATGTCATCCGGAATCATCGTAACAGCACGACTAGTATCCCGATCAAGGACGTCTTTGACAATGGTCCAAATGGGCAAGTTAATAAGGCCTACGAAGAGGAGACTTATGGAAGTCGGTCATCGTTACCGATGCATCCTAGAAATTCTGTCAATTGGAAAGGCAGTTTGAGTAGAATGTAACCACAAGAGGCATGCGAATTAAGACTCAAAACTACCTGATAAATGACAATATGCAAATGAAAACAATTTTAGACAAATGAATGATGATTATGAATGATTGATAGCTAATAAGAAAGACTTGATTTTGTATATAAGCTCAACTATAATTAAATATAATGTAATTTAAAAGAACCTATTAATATTATTTCATTACTCCATTTCCATTTTGTGATATCAGGCAACCACGAACGCAAACATCAAACCTCATAATGGTTTGATGGCTGCCTAATATGGTTTAAAACTGTAAACAAAATTACATGAAATCTAGTGTTTTATTTGTTGACTTTATTTATTGTATGTGTTTGTTGGAACATTCAAATATGTCTCAATGTTATTGTATTACTCTCGTTTTTCTCGAAAAAGGTGTAACCGTTAGGGAAGATTGGGCGAAGAAATACGCATCTCGAAACGCTATTCAAAAATAGTTGGTCCACTACAAAAATCTGACCAGCTCTCTGTCGTCTCCTTATTAACCAACGCTAGTTACGTTTGTTTTGTTTACATTGTAATTTATACAAGCACTTGATAATATCACTTTTTAAAAATTTCAATCTTCAAATTTCTCAAAGTTCGAACCTCTTATGAGTTCTTTGTTCATGTCTAAATATTACGAAAAGGCAAAACGCAAGAAGGAAATTTGGAGCTCTTCAGGGTCAAAAAGTTGCACTGAAGCGACGACGGTAGTGTGTGTTCTGGACAAATATTGGTTTGCTTGTTTCGTGTAAAACTTGAATTCAAAGTTCGTTCCCGGTCGACGGTTCAATATTAATGACAGTAATGCAATCTAACCGCGTAGTATCATAAATAGTTGCCCCTAAGCGCATCTAGGTGTTCTCTTCTCTCCACGACTGTTCTCAGACCATTTGCAACATGCAATTGGTTTCAAAAATATATATGTATAAGTTGTATGTACAAAATTATGACAAACTAATCAATAAAAGATACGCTGCGCTGGTAAGATATTTTCGATCAAAATAAGCGCTTAAACTTAAATACTTAACATGAATTTCCTTTTTTGCGCCACATTGTTTGGCGGCTTGCATTGTTTGTACAAATCAATAAAATTTATTAGAACAAAATAATATGCATCTAGAATAAGTAATAATATGCGATAATTAATGAAAATATAATATTTCGTCTGGTGACATTCTACTCTCGTCAAATTCGATTACCGATCGAACATGAAGCTAAAAACAAGATTCAAAAATTAAACGGTGATAAATTTACAAAATTTGATTTTGCACCAAGAGACAAATCAATTGATTTTTATAATTTTCTTCAACATAAGAAAATTCAAAGCGTAAATAAATGACAAACAACGTACGTAAATTAATTAAATGGTAATTTCTGGCTACTCCATAACCATCATAATCAAAAAATGTCAGGAACGATATTGTGTGAATATGAGGCGTTTACTTATGGAACAGCCAGTAGTAAAACATAATATACATTTGAAGTGTTTTTCAAACAATAATGTACTTTTTCGGTGCGCGTTTTTGTTTTTGCAAAATTCATTTCCGTACCTCTCCGTTCTTCATCCGTTCCCCTAACTATTGTCTTGTAAGTCGAACGAAACATTTGCTCGTTTCTCGTAGAAAAAGCGTGCTACTGTGAAGACGAATCTAATGCATTTCATATATAAAAATATTCATTTTCTTCTCCCCACTGGCATGCATCGCGCCGCTCCTCATCCACTCCTTCACCGGCATTTCCCGCACACTGCATCGCATGCCACTCACTGTAACATTCATTACTTTGTCTTCTCAGTCCTATTTTCGTTCCGTTACACAAGTTTTAGTTTAAACCTAATTTATGTCCGCTGGCTCCGCTTTGTCGCGACCAGGCGGCTCGTTTACTTATTAAAAATATGTTTAACGCGTGTTTTGGTAAATATAGTGTGTGACTGTGAGAATGGGGATGTGTGTAGTGTTTCTTTTGCTTGTGGGGCGGGAGTGGTTTAGGGATGTCGCGTGGACGCAATCGACGGCCGGCACCGCACGTTCAGCCTTCTTACATATCGGACACGTCCGAGTCTATGTCGTCGTCAGAGAAGTCCTCAGGCGCCGGCGAGGATGACTGGTGCGAGTTGACCTCGTCCAGCAAGGATGAATCGATGTGAGGGTCGCCGAGCACATTTGGACCTAATTTATGCAAATCTGAATTTGCAATTTCTACAAAACAAAGTCAATTCAATTGAATAATCGATAGGCAAACAATTTTAAACTTACGTTTAACATATTCCCGAAGTTCACTAGGTACTAAGTTCATGAGTTTTTCCAATGCCTTCGCATCACATGTGCCATCATCCAAACCTAAAACATAAGATAAATCGAATAAAAACTTTACTAATCAAATCTACATTATGTTTAACAAACCCATTAACATTCCCAGTTGTTTGAGCACTTCAGAATCGTCGAGAATTTCAAATTTGTCATTAAAATTAAACATATATTCCCTCCTAGAAATTACAATCAAAATAAATTTAACCACACTTTGTTTTAAACACATGTTCATGAAAACTTACTTGTCCTGCGAAATACTACAGTCAATAACAGTCTCTTTTTCCGTTTTGACAACGAGGAAAGGCAACTCGATGCAGGAGCTCGCCGGCGGGCGGCCATAGAGCTCTTCGTGTTCACGGTTACGTGTCACGAGGTTCTTGAACGATATCAGGTTGGTGATCAGCTCCAGGAGATACTTCTTTTTCATACCGATGCTTTGCATTTTCTTGCGCTTTTCTTGCTCTAACTGAATGCACTCCTGAACAGAATTAGACGGTAATCCAATCCATTTGATTTCCTTCTTCTGCTTGGAGATGATTCCCATCGCCATTAGCACATTGAGCGCATCGTACACCCGGCGTCTGATATTTTTTTGATCGTACTAAAAACATTTCGGAAAATTAATTATAAAACAATGTTTTCGGTTGTTGTAAGTATTTTTCTTATTTTTATGTAATAAAACTTACTTTTCTGGGTTTTGCGTGGTGTACTCTTTGACAAGTTCGTCGGCGACCTCGTTATAAGTGGTAGCCTTTTTCTTGCGCACCTTTTCACAGACTCTGCTCGAAAAGTGCCGCAAGCCCTTTTCGGCTTTTTCCATTTTCCTTCGTTTGCTACAAAATAATTCGACATTTTTATTAGCAAAGATAAGAATTTACAAAATGTTCAAATCGATATAAACCAAATTGTAATAACTTACATTTCGGGCACACAATCGGAAGGATCCAGCGATTCTATGCGTTTCCGACTACCCGTGTGATCCAAAATCGGCGGCGATGTGTGAAACGATTTGGTCGGCGACATCCGATGTTTGATTTGTGGTGACAAAGGTACGGCAATTTTCGGCGCACTTTGCACAACCTTAAAAATGAAGACAATCAGTAAAGGAATAGAAATATCGATGGTCGGCGAAAACTAACCCTGCTGATCGGCTGCAAGCGACGCACTGTCGTCGATTGACCATCGGATAATTTTTGTACTCCCTGAGTCATTGCACCTACAGGTAAATTTTCTGCAAGTAAACAAAATCGGCGATAAATATAGTTAAATTGCAATTTGGTTCGTAACTTACGTGTGGTTAGAAGTTTTTGAGTTTTCACCACTTGTGGCACGCTTGTTAAAGTCTAAAACAAAATATAACAATTAATAAATTAATAATGAAAAGCAATAAAAGTTTTGTGTCTATTTTTAGTTTTATGGGAATGTTGAAAGATAACACGGCAACGTTGACAAGCTTCCATTTCAATTAAGCAAGTTTCCGAGACAAACACGAAAGTTTGCTCCTCAGATTCTCAAACTTAAATGAATTTTCAAGACTACACATTTTATCATGAGATTCAAATTAAAGCACACCACTGTTATGAACGTTATGTCAATATTAGTGCTTAACGGTTCTTATCACAGTTAGCATAAAATATTAATCGTTATTTCACGACAACTATTTAATCATTCACTGTGAAATAAAATCAATTAAGTGAGAAATATGAAAACATTTATCGTCCACAAATCCCACTCACATTTCCATGATGAGAAATGACCGAAATGGCCAAAAATTCACCGGCATTAAAGTAGGAAATGAAAAGTAAAGAAAAGAGAGTCGCGTCGCCGAGTGTGTTGGGTTCGGCGCGCCCAACCGGTTCTACAAAAACAAACCCGTGCGTCGCCTCGAAAACGAAGCGACCAGGCGCAGAAGAAGCGCGCGGGAAACGCGGCAGGCGCGCACGCCGATACCGCCGAGACGAAGGCGGTCACAGGCCGAAGGAAAAAGAGTTGAATTAAGCTTTTACGCGCACGGTCGGCGCGGCGCGCGGACCCGAGATTCGTATCGAAGGTGCGCAACGAAATTATTTCGCTTTGTTTTCAGCCTAGCTTGAAGTCATCTATTTTTTCATCTGAACAATGGGATATAATCGATGATAAATGCCGAACAATCGTTTAATTTAACCCCGCAATACTAAACATGCGACAATTTCAACTGTTGAAGCATAACTTTGTTAGCACCAAGTTGATAACAATTTCTGCGACCAATTAAAACCAGCAAGTCAACTACTTCCGCCTATCAATTTTCTAAATTTACTTTTAATGATATAAGAAATGTCAAAATGTCATTAACCTTAAAATATTCTAAAATTAACATTTTGGGGACATTTTCGAAAACATAAATTATTAAAAGCTGCTGTTAGTTATCCTTGTACACGAGAGAAACAACAGAAGCAAGCGCCGCCATTGTAATTACAGATGTCAACATGTAATTATGATAATCGCGCAGAGTTTGTAACGTTCGTAACGTTTTCCACCGGCCGGCGCTCCGGCGCGTTTTGTTCGCAATCGCAACGACTGGGGAACAACTTCCCATCCGTTGTTTAGTCGTATGTAATTCGAATAAATGTCGCAGGTGCTCGGCCGCCGAGTTGTCGCCCATTTTCTCCGCCGACCGCCAGTCATACAAGTATGTACAGCTCATGCATTTGCGTATTTTTTCAGTTGCACACTGATATCACCCCACTTGTAAGCAGTTAGAGAGTACAAGCTGTGTGCATACATCGCTCTCAAAACATCAATAATAAAATAATAGACTGCGTTATATAACAAAACGATGCAAATTTAATTATTTCGTAGCCTAAAATTAAATTTATAATAGGCAAGAAGCCATAATTTGTGGCTTGTGCTTTTTTTCTTTATTTGAGCTTCGAACTTCGAGTGCTCATTAGTCTCAGCCAAGAAATACGTGAAAACAACTCCATCAATCATCGTAAACACGTAATTAATGCACTAATAATGCGTTTAACCAAGCTAATCAAGCTGGATATTGGGAATTAGATTTTACTACGCCACTACACCAACTATGTACTAATAAATTCCGTTTGAAATATCAACGTAACGAATACTATAAGAAAGTAATAAGGAAACATGTCTAATCAATGAGAAAATTAATAGTGCGGCATAAAATAATTTGATCCGAATGCATCTAACCTGTTGTCCGCCGCTAGTCGTCTTCACCAGCTTGATCTGCTGGCCATTCGCCAGCGAGCCGATGAATTCCTGCACCTGCGAATTGTCGGACGCCAATACTTTTATCACTTGCCGTCCCGCTGCAACAAAATAACAAAATTCATTAACGCCAAACACAAAACCCTAGCGAAGCGATTATTTATTTAATTAAAATCATATTATGCATTCACAGCGAGACGAATCCGCAGAAAGCAACATGCCCCAAGGTTGTCTCTTCTAGGTTCTCTCCAGGTGCCAACGTCTCGAAACTAGTTACTCATTCCGTGTAATAAATACGAAGAGTACGTACACACCAAGTGCACACACAATGCGCGCGCGCGCCGACTTGTTTGCGATGTGTGTGCACAATGAATAGAAAATAAAACCGCGTTTTTTCTCTCTCCTGGCGGTTCTGTTGTCGTTAGCAATTGGCATACCGGACGAGTGCGCCTTTTAGAACTTATTAGCAATACCAGCAAGAAGCAGGACATTCATTTAGAGACGTGATGGGGATGGAGAAGAATGTGCGATATGTGAAAATCCAGTTAGGCTTGTTTGGATCACGAATCTTAGAGAAACAATTAAGAAACACGAAGAGAAAATAAGTAACAGACAGGCACGAATTCACGAATTAATAAAAGTATTATTTCTATTCATTTCGAATGATGTCATTGGTAAATGTTATAATTAGACAAACAGCACGCAATATTCATAATTAATTAAACAATATGTCCCTACATAACAAGCCCAACACATCTATCATCAGTGATAATGCGCAGTTTTCCTCGTCGCCGGTGCGGTATCCGAAAAAAAAAACCACATGGCGCCATTGTCTCATGATGCTCGCGCACCGCACATACGGTTCATGCTCTATCGGACGCTTAACACCCAAGCGAATGCTGATGAGTGTCCCACATCATTTTCTACGCGCTACTATCCAGACATATTTGTATAATAACTTGGTAATCGCTTACCAAATGTGCCGAGTATGCACATTTGTCTCTTGTCTCTTGTAAAAGTTTTATTTTTGTTTGTTTGTTTATTTGAAGGTTGGAGACAGATATGTTCAAGATGGGCTAGGGGTGGGTGTTATTTGATTATACTAGTTTGATTATATTATTGAAGGAAGTTTGGAATAAGTTTAATGATAGGATGAGCCACCACACATCACACATGGAAACATTCTGATAACGAAAAACTAGTAGAATGTGTTTGGAAAACGGTGGTAATGATGCAATCAGACGATAATTCCACTTGCGTAGGTGGCACAACAAAATAGAGGGAAATAAAATACGATTATAAACCTCGATAAGTTGTTCTCTCAGTGATAAGAATTCAACATGTAATTGTGAATTCTTAAAATCACTGCTAATGTTATTCGATGTTCATTTGTTTAAAATCTGTTTCCGGTCTGTAGGTTTTTTTCTGATGGCATCACATCATAAACTATTGATTAGTACGACGTGCGGAATGAATGTTTAGTCGATTGTTGCAAGCCGAGTGGAGGTGTAATTGCGAATTAATTTCGGCAGCAACCTTGGCTGGTTTTGTTTCTCGCCGCTTGCGGAATTCCGAGTTTTGTTTGCCTCTCGAGCCGACTCCTGTTGACTTGCACTTTCGGCCTAGACTCACACTTTCCCGTGCCATTTCACAGCCATTGTTTAGGCTGCATCGACTACCGGTTCTTGGCAGACCCGCCGATCACTGATTCAACGAAAAGGGTTGAAATTCCGACGCATTGAAGTAGTCTCAATTACCCCATAGGGCGATTTTACAACCCGGCCCCACCGATCGCGCTCGGCGAGCACCCCGATGGCCGAACCGCGGCCGGGGATTATTTTTAGCCGGCGTAAGGCGTCGCTTTTCTACCCGTGCAAGTGTGCAATTATGCAAATTTGTACCGCGTCGCGTTATGCACATCGGTGTAATTCGTTGCGATTATTGTAACCGATATCGGCGCTGGCGAAGGTCCCGCGCGCCGTCGGTGAATTTCCCACCAAAAGACCGAAAAAGTGTATAGGCTTGATCAACTCACCGGTCATGTCCTGCAGGAGGAAGTTGGTCGTGTTGGCCTGGTGCGCCATCGCGTCCTCTTCCGGGGGTTCTCGGGGGCTGACGGCGTGGCGCGTTTAAGCTCGGCCGGCAGGGCCTCCTCAGCGCTGCTCGCCGCGCACGGGCGCCGATCGGCCTGGGCAGCGCGACGACAAATATGGCGCACGCGGCAGACCGCTCATTCGGATGCGAAATAACTAGGCGAGCCGCACACGCATTTTCTCCGTGAACGGCGCTTTTCAAGAGGACGATCGCGGCTTTCCAGTGGTGCAAAATTTATGCCAATTGGTATTGCGCGGACACGTACACGGCCCGTCGAAGTGCAGCTCTTTCGTGCACGGCGCACGAGAACAGCTTTAGCTTTAGCGCGTACAAAGTGCTTCGTGCGATTGGATGGCGCATTCACGTGGGCATCGTCGTCGCACGAAGGATTAGTTCATGTGCCTGCCGCACGCAACATTTTCCCGCCCAGTAAACTTTTCTAAACTTTACCACTTATACAGTGTACAAATTAAATATACAAGAAATAATTAATGAACAAATACATTTGGCTAGTTTAGAGCAATAAAATAGTGCATGAATGTAGCGAAAATCTAATTAAACGACTTTTGTTTACAGCTGTCTTTTGACATTCAGCGCCACCTGATGGCAGTTGTCATAAAGCACACTGTCAACTGCGTAAGTTTGTTATTTTAAGTGAAAACATGTGCGTTGCTCAAACAACAACAAACGCTCACAATCACATTCCAAAAAGGTATAATCATGAATGAAAATTGTGTTTGGTGACATTTTAATGTCATTTACTTTAAAGTCAATTTGTTTTCTTTAGTTTAAAGAGTAAAGTGTACACTACGAAATTATTTTGAAATGTCACTGTCATCTTACTGTCATCCATCTGTCAGATTTCCAACCCTCTTTGGTTACATGCGCCCCGCTCACCCCTAGCAGTGGTGGGTTTGTCTGTTGTCAAAACGCGTCGCGACGTCGGGTCCGTCTGGTCGGTCTGGTCCAGTGGCCACAACAGCCCGCAAGTGCCCCCATTGGTTTGCTGTCTATCATGTCGCCGGAGGATTGCGCCCCATGTTATCGACGACCACCTGAAACGCCGCCGTCGCCATGGACGGGCCGCTGGGGAGATCAACGTGCTGGAGGTGATCTTTTCATACCTGCACCTGGCCGACCTGCGCAACTGCGCGCTGGTCTGCAAACGGTGGCATCGCTACCTGAACGACGAAAACAACGACGTGTGGCGGCTGCACTGTGCGCGAAAGCTTGCCGAAGAAGCTCTCAAGTCCGACCTGCTTGCTTCGGTACCGACCCACAAGGCGAAGTTACGCGCCTTCCATCACTCATGGAACCCCAACGACTGCTCGCGCAACATTTACATTAAGCCCAACGGCTTCACGTTACATCGCAATCCGGTGGCACAGAGCACAGACGCATCACGCGGAAAAATTGGCTTCAAACAAGGCCGGCATGCATGGGAGGTGATTTGGGAGGGCCCCTAGGCACAGTTGCTGTTATTGGCATTGCTACCAAAGATGCACCACTGCAATGCCATGGATATGTTGCTCTATTAGGATCTGATGACCAAAGCTGGGGATGGAATCTTGTTGATAATCATCTGCTGCATAATGGGAATGCACAGGGAATTATCCATTGTTGAATAATGCACCTAAGTATCAAGTGAGTTAATTATTCAAACTGTTATTCATTTAATATTCCTCATCACTTGTAATTACCCCATTTGTGTTTTAGGTCGGTGAACGAATACGAGTCATATTGGATTGTGATGATAATACATTATCATTTGAGAAAAACTACGAATTTTTGGGTGTTGCGTTCAGAGGTACATAAAATCTACAAATTTCGAAAGAAAAAATATATTTTTGTTCATTTGTAGGTCTCCCCGATAAAAATTATATCCAACTGTATCAGCTGTGTATGGCAACACGGAAGTCTCGATGGTGTATCTAGGACCACCCTTGGATGGCTAACACATGTCCCCATCATCTGTCCCCCCACAATTGCCTGGTTATATAGGTGATGCACCACGAAGAGTGCGTGCAACGTGTACAGAACGCGCAGAAATGCGTAATAATCATAACATAATGACTTATACCTGCCTCATAAATTTACGGAGAGAGTTGACACATAAGATGGCTATGTATATGACTGTCAGGTTTGCCATGTGATAATACTACTGTATATTTAACTATTTAACTAGATACCTAGCGATAGTCGCATGATTGATGGGAAAATGATGTTGGAGATGTGAGGAGAGGTGAATAGTTGATTATCTAATGTCTGAATGAACCAAAGTAACTTCCAATTAAATTATTTTGAGAAGCGGAAGGAAAATATGACAGATCGTGTCATTGGAAGTGACTGATGGTAGATCATTAATGCTGTAGTGAAATTCAAGTTTAGTCATAATTTAATTATGTTAGTTACCATTATTTTGCGTTTGATCTTTTTGTTTTTTTTTTTTTGTGCAGGGCCAAAAGTGCCATGTAGACGACGAAGTTATTCAAATAGCTCCTGTGATATATTTATTTCATTTTTTTTAACTTAATTTATTTATATTTTGCAGTATTATTTGTGCCATTAACTATTTATTTTATAGCTATTTATAAATGCGGGTAGCTGAATTTTATGTTGTATTTTTAGTCATTGTGAGAATCAAAACGCCAGGGCTAGTTTTAATATTAATTTAACATAATTTATTAATGTCCAATTTCAAATTCTTCGACTTTTTTCGCTATTTATTTGTAGAACATATTAATCTAGTCTAGCATCATGGAAGTCTCACGTAGAGATCAATTTCACGCAAAGCAAACAACAAACGATTAAGCTAACTTGTACATACTAGTAAAATACGACAAATTCAAATGAAGAAACTTAGTCGACGTACGTCCTCGAATCGTGACCTTCCATCACTGAAATCATGATTTACATCAATTCTGATAAGTTTTACATCATCAAGTCAAACTTGATGCGAAGGTTTGAACGTCAGCAGAAATAGTCATTTTAATCAACTTAATATTGACTGTAATAGATCTAGTTTTGTACATACTGATTAAATTAATATGGATCACTTTAAGCAAGCAATTGACACGAACACACAGGATATATTAAAATAACTCTTTAATTCTTAAACAATTAATTAAGAATTTAATAATTGCTACGATATGAAGAAGCGGATGATTGTATAGAAAAATGGAAACGGAATATCTGCAAGCATATAACGATCGAATCGAACACATGATACTCACTTAGTAATTGCATAAACAGTACAGAGATGTATGTGTAAAACGCAAGCTAATTTTCTGCCCGATTATATATTATAGAATTGATATTTTTTAAAACTGCGCCACAGCAAAGAAATTAGCTTGCGTTCAGCAATGTTGTTAACGATTTCAACTTATTATGTAAATGTACGTCTTTCTAGTCTTTAACATTTCATAAAGTGAAAGATGCGAATTTGTCCTGATAAATGGTTTACATGTCCTTCATTTGTCTGCTTGTGTCTTCTAAACTATTATTTATGCATTCCATTTCATTATCACTCTAAACTTTTGTGCTCTACATGTATTGTTAGTACATTACTTGAATCCCTCACGGCAAATTATTATTTTTATGGATTGATTTTGTTTGTTATTTGCTAAAGGTTGTAATAGAAATCACCAATGCATTATCGTGTAGGTGTAGGAATACAAATGACGTGCTGTTGTAACATTCTGATGATGATAACGATGAAATTTGAAGGTGGGTTTACGTTTTGTAACATATGAATGAAAATGCTTGTGTTTATTGAGTAAGCAACATGAGGAACACTGGAAATTGCATAATTATTGTTATTTTGTCTTGGATGATAAGCGAAATAGACTGATAATTAAACAAATTGTGTTTTAACTTTAAAATTCATTATTGAACGATTTTTGTTTGTAAAAAACAATGTATCCTGAGAACTAAGTTACCAATCTGGAATATTTTACCGACATAATGTAGGTGAATATTTCCTCTATCTTTGGTATATCTTTTCAACTCCGTATTTTTCGAAAAACATCTCCCTAGAATCTCTGAAAAACAAAAACATATGCCATGGTTTTATGGCCACAGAGGGTTTAAAGGAATATGCATAATGTAATCATAATCTTTTGGATCTGTGTCTGTAAAAAATTTAATCTAATGCATCATTTCAAAAGCTATAGGGTGTTTTTCACATCATATTTTCAATTTGTCTCGCCGCGCAGAGAATGTTGACATAGAAACCACAGTTGTGGGGCGAATAGACGGAAACGAATCGACGAGAACCCCACTCATCTTACTGTATGTTGCCTAAATCATTCTTAGATGGCGCAAGGATGCACTAATTTGCATTAAATTTTGTTCATTTGCACGTGTGAATTGTTTATATGCATCAAGGAGTACCTATGCAGCATAAGGTAAATGGCAGTAAATGTAATCGTGTACATGTGAGATACGGGATGACATTGTTTATCGCTAGAATGCACATATTTGTATTAAATTATTCCTTGTTTGAGTTAGTTAGTATTGTCGAGTGTTAAATGGCAAACTTACCTTTGTTATAAACACGATAAATCAATTTAAACACTTCCAAAATGGCATACGTTCTTTTATTCGTATTTTACAAAGTCGATTTAATCGATCGAACATAATATATGGAAAATATTCAACAATATTTATAATATGTCACATTGTAAACTCTTCCGCTTTCATTTCAACAAAATCATTAACGACAATAGTTTATGTATAGTTATTTTATGGATAAATAATAAAATATTCAAGAAGATCACAAATAAAACAGTTGTTAATCGTTTTCCGATTCGTACCACTTCTAACAAAACAATGCGTCTAAAATTGTTATATGATCATTTCTTAGTCAATATTTACAAAACACATCGGTACATCGGTTCATGTTTCTTATTTAGAACAAAGTTCGATTTCAATTCGCTATTTAATGCTCCAATCCTGTGAAGTAGTGTAGTTTCACATGGTCGAGTGATCCAGTATTTTAATTTTTATCGTAAGAGTTACAAGATAAGATAAAAACACGAGTCATTCTTAGGTTTGTTTTGCTTTGCTTTGCTAAAAGACAAATCACTCATTAATCTTCACGCCACTTTCATAACAGTTTCACAATTCATTTTGCGCTTAAACATTTTCAACATTTCAAGACTTAAATTATCTATGTACACTTTACACATTGTTTGTATGTCGTCGAAGGACATGTTGTTTGATTTTCTTTTATGTTTACATTTGACTATCGTAACGTACATGTTTTCATCAATCTGTCATATTCAACGATTTATGTTTACTTTTTACATTTTACTAATGACAAAAAAACTTCTAAAATTGC